TGGTACTTCGTTCGGTGCGTGCTTATTTGATAAGTAATCATTTGGAAATAAACCAACGTTTTTTTTTAAAAAAAAAACGTTTTTATATAGTGGCAAAGTTTGTCATCTTAAAATATTAGTTAAAACTACGTCTGGAAATATCTAAATGTGCATTGTTAGGCAAATAGAACTGGTTCCCAAACTTTTTTTCAGAGCTCAAGCAGTGGGAAGTTGGTTAAGTGTAATAGACAATTTGATGACTGCAGTACACATACATACAGACACACACTAAAATTAAGAATACATAACAACTTCAAACTATCAAAATTGAATTGAAATCCGGTAAATTAAATGAGTTTGGAATACAGTTTAATCAAACCACTCTTGGAACAGGAATTATTTGGCGGTATTTGCCAAATGTTGCTAAATTGGTCCGCAAAGCCAACTTAACATTCAATAAAAAAAAAAAAAAAATCCCTTAAATTTGGCAATTATTCAATTGCCAAGTGATTAGGCTAAACTGCATTATTTAAAAAAAAATCTGAGTTAAAACTTGTCTCAAACGTCTAAATATTGCATTGTTAGGCGAGAAGTATAGATTCCCAAAATTTCAAAGCGCTAGCCTGATGGGGAAGTTGGGTTAAATTAACGATCCGCCGTTGATGACACACACACACCAAGTGAAATTCAGAGGAAACGTTGTAAAACAACTTTTCTTTCCTCAGTAACAATATTAATAATTACTATCGACAATACATGAATAGAGGATGGGTAAGTGGCGATTATATGTAAACTGGAAGCAGAAACTACAGCGGATGATATATGTAAGCTAATTTAATTTAATTATCAACTCAATGTTTAAAATTGTAAGCTACAATCTTTATTATTGAGACTCATAGCTTACAAAAAAAAAAAAAAATTGGAAATTACAATTCATTTGCTCTTTAAACAAGCCCGCATCCGTTTTATTGTACCACTTAATTTTTTTAGGATTTTCGATGAAGTATAAAATGAGCCATGTATATCTCTTAAAAAAAAAAAAAAAAGAATTGAATAGAAAAAAAAAAAAAAACCAAAACTTGTTTTGATGATATTTTTCGAAAACTCTCATTTTCATAATTTTTTTAAAAACTTTTTTAGCAGTTGCAATAGTTTTTCTCCGACTTTTCTGCTCAAAAGATGCTCATTTTAAAAAGATTTTTGATGCCGCTTGAGATTTTAAAATTAGCTTAAATATTACGGATCACATTAATTTTTGCAAAATTTCTTTTAATAAAAAGAAAAGTTTAAGTGTTTATTTAGACAGCATAGCGCAAAGAGGGAATGACCGAGAAAAAGGAAATTTAGTTTGCTAAACCTATGGGAGGATCCGATGGTATGTATCAAATACAATTTCTTGTAATTACCTTTATAATTTTTTAAGTCTTATGATTCAATGACCAATAAGCAATACCCTTGTCTTCATTATGCTGAAGTCTGGCTCATACAACGTCGCAAGAAGTTATTGTCCCTCTTTTGCTCCACAACGAATATTAAATAATGCGGTGTATTTTGCTATTGACAATTTAAGATTTTGGCCGCGGGGGTATAAAAGTCATGGTCGCAAACTCGCGATCTGCATTGTTCTCGTCGAGTACTGGTTTCGATCCCAGATGCTACTAAAGACTTTCCATGTAGTGGAGCTGAAGATCTTTTAATCTAGTTGAAGTCTTATTTCCTTCTATTGATGTGATGATGAAAATTAGAGAAGAAAGTACCAGTTCATGTGCCGACTTTGTTACTTATCCGAGGTTCAAAATTAAGACGTCCGTCGCCAGTCTTCAAAGAGTGCGAAGTTAATATAATACTTTACCAATATTACTTTATACATTATTGAAACTTTTTGAGGTTGAATAGGATAAGACAAAAAACTTTTTCGTGTTCGGCCGGGATTTGAACCCGGGACCTCTCGCACCCTAAGCGAGAATCATACCCCTAGACCACCGAACCTCGCAGATGCATAATACTTTATACCGATTTAACCACATAACATTATTTCCACCTGTCTTTGTTTATAATAAAGATATTTGCGTGTCTGTGCATAAATAGAATTTCTTTTCCATCGCATTAATACTTACATTGATCGGAAATTCTGATCTCTGATAAAATGTGTTCTTTACACAAAATGTTAAACATAAATTATATGCAATATTACTCTTTTGTTTGTACACATATATATACGCATGTGTGTATAGATATATGTATATGTATGTATGATATATATATATATATATATTAGTGGTCTAGCCGTGAAGAATTTATTTATTTACATTTACACAGCTTACATTTTTACTCACTCTCTGGACCGTTATACTCCTTCACCATACTACTTATTACCAACCAATTGTTTGCATCTTTTTACATTTTATTACCAATCAAACAATGACTTAAATCTTTTTTCAATTTATATGGTGATGATGTGTTATATTTTTTCATTTTGAGTATGTGATATACATCTTGAAGCTTAAAGAAAATTCCGTCTTACTACTCACATATTTGAATCTTCATTTCTTTGAATTTTGTAAGTAATTTTTATATTTTGATTTGTTTATAATTTTTAGAATGATAGATTTTATTTTGTAAATTTTATCGTTGAAATTTTTTTTTTTTTTTGCATTTTTCAATCTTTGAACTCTTTTGTAATTTGGATTTCCCAATTCAGCCTACAAGGAATTATAGATTTTATTTTTGTGGATTTTATCGCTGAATTTGTTTGCATCTTTTAATCATGAACTCTTTTGCAATTTGGATTTCCTAATTCAGCCTACCAAGTCGCAAAGGGGGAAGGTTGGTACCATTGAACTAGTTTAACCCCGCTTAATCGGTCCTCAGCCCGATATTGCTTTTTGACTTGCTGGGTTCCATATTTTCATTTATTTTTCTTTCATTGTTACATTTCTTTCTGGTTTTTTGTCTTTTTAAGTGTTTTAAATTATTTTTTCATAGATTTTCAGTATATATATATATATATATATATATGTGTGTGTGTGTGTGAATGTATATATATAATTATAATTAATATTCATATATGATACTCGCTAAACGTTTTAACAGTAGGAAATTAACACATCAATCAATAACTCCCGAGTCTAACATTGAAAACAACATTTTTTTTGCAAAATTTTTTTTTATTCATCAACATAACACCTTTTTTTAATCACCTTTTAGGGTGATACAATCATTCCAACGCTTTTCCAATTTTTTTTTTTTTTTCGCAAGAAATCTTTTTTGTTGCGAGTAAATAGCGATAAACAGCTTTCTGAATCATCGACTCGTTGCTGTTTTTGTTCCATCGAAAGCAATCGCGGCACCCACTTCGAAAAAAACCTTTTTCACTTCACTTCAAAAAACCTTTTTCAGTAAATACACTTCCATATGATATCTGTGTCATCTCAGCAATCTCACGGAGCTTCACTTTACGATCTTTCATTATAATTTTTGTCACTTCACTCACATTTTCCGGTGTAACGGCTTCCACAGGTCTACCCGAGCGTTCCGCGTCATTTGTGTCGGTACGACCACGTTTAAACTCGGCAAACCACCGACAAATCGTTGCTTTTGATAGACAAGAGTCCGGGTAACATTTTTCAATCCATTGTTTCGCTTGCACGGTGTTTTTACCCATTAAAAAACAATGTTTTATCAGAACACGAAACTCGGTTTTTTCCATTTTTTAAACAAACTACAAAACGACTTTACTCCAACCTCGATAACTCAGCTGTTTCTGGTCCGATCGACTTAAAATTTTGACACGTTTCAAGCAAAGGTTCGTACTCTAGAAAGACTTGGTTACTGGTTTACCTTGAGTGCCATCTCTGGGTTAGTCTCGAAACTTATTGAACCATGTGTTACACAATCCCGTGGATATCGAAAAAGACAATCATCATTGTGTTGTCAATTGATTTGCTCAATCGAATGGTTTTGACTCTCGGTGATTATGTTCACTTGTAATGCATGGTTTCGCACTTCGTTTCAGGATCATAAGTAAAAAACCTTGATTGGTCACACGTGACACGGGCGTGAAATCATTAACTTCTTCTTCGCCATCTTATAAGAAGTTAAAATACTCAAACACATGTGTGTATGCGTATATTTCATACTTTTTTTTCTATACATTATAAATTTTAGTATCGGCTTTTCTAAGTTTCACGTGAAATGCCACAACAAATCGTTTCTCTATTGTTACACTCATCATTGTTTGGTGAAAAAAAAAGCATTTGATGCAAATGAGAACTGTGTCTATGCGGATTTGCTTACAGAAGTTAAAAGTACTGTATTCAAAATAGAAGGTTTCATGCTAAATAGCTATAGATCGCTGGCGTATGGCGAATGCATACATTTTTTGTAGCAGCATCAGGCTCATTATTTAATAGCTAACCCTCATATATATATATATATATATATATATATATATATATATAGTTATATATATATACATAACATCGGTTTCATTTGGCCGAGGATCAAAATTACAAACTCTGTTACAAATTGCAATCACGTTGCTTTTCTGTGCCGACTTCAGTAAAAAACAATCACTGTTTATATTTAAAGGAGTTTTCTTTTCTTTATTTCTTTTGAAAAAACTTATGCTTATTGATTGTTTGTCCCTTTAATCAACTGAACGACACTTTTCCCAATGATTCATCTCAATTAGCACTCTTTCTAAAAGTAAGTTTTATTTTTCTGCAGCATAGATTGTCTACACTGCTCACCTTTCATCAAAGGCTGAAGTTTATTCCACGTGAAACTGAAGCTTATACGGATAACAAACAGTTACTCTATAGCTAGGGAAAACAACTAATCAGTTGATAGAAGTAAAAAAAATACAGAAAGAACAAACATGCGGACTGATGAGCTTTGAAATAATAATACCGAGAAAGATCTCTTACAAACTCTGTTCATAGTTAGCATTGCTGAAAATTTATAATACATCCTTGCTTTGAATGAAAATGTATTGAAATATGGTTTATGAAGATAGTTTAATGTCGTAATCATACAAAATAACCGAAGCTTTTTGCTAGTAGATTTTTTGTGTCATATAATTATAGTTTTAGAACATTTAATTGAATTTTTGATTGAGAACGGTCTTTGTACCTTAAAGTAAAACAGTAACTTAATGAAATTTGCTATCTTGTCCGTGTCGTATGTGGGTTCTCACAAAAACACAATTAATGCTTGGAAGTTTCATTTTTGAATATTTATGTTTAGTCGAGTCAGGTGTAGGAAAATCAAATTGTTGTAAAAAAAACAAATATTAAAATGGTAATATTACCACCCAACCCCTGAATACTATTCTGCTAAAATTTGAATAGTTTGAGGAAAACATTTACAAAGATCTAACAGAGAAGCGACATTTAACTGTTTCGTAGATTTTCTTGATATACACTCATGGACAAAAAAAATAGCACACCAAGAAGAAGTCGTCAAAATGAAACGAAATTTTACATACGTAATGACTACTTTGATATAAGTATATGATTAGAAAATCAAAGAAAAATGATCATTTATTTCATAGAAAAAGGCAAAAGAACGGAGGATTTAATACCTTGTTGAACCCCCTATAGCGGGAATGCACGATGCGATGCGATCGGGCATTGAGGCATACAAGTTCTGTATGATGTATTGAGACATTTCGTTTCTTATTTGTTGTAACCTTGCCTCTAGTTCGTTCAAACTCATGGGATGCCAAATTCGCCGTCCCAAATAATCCGAGATATGTTCGGTTGGAGACGAAACTGGGGACCGGGCAGGCCAAGGAAGGGTAGTAAAAGTGCGGAGACAGTCTTGTGATACTCTTGTCGTGTGAGGCAGAGCATTATCTTGTTGAAAAATTTCTCCTGGGAGCCATTGCATGAGTGGCAACACATCTGGTTGCAGGATGTCATAGACATAACGCTAGGCTATCATGTTGCCAAAGGATCAATACTAGTGATGACCGTGTATTGTAGGCAATGGCACCCCATACCATCACACCAGCGGTGGGAGCGGTGTATCACTGTAAAGCAAAGGCAGGATTGATACGTTCAACACGGGTTCTCCACACGAGAACACGATTGTCATCACTGCTGAGATTTAATCTAGATTCATCGCTAGAGACGACCTGGTTCTATTCCGCTACAGTCCAGTTTCCTCGTGCGTGGCACCACTCCAAACGGAGGCATCGATGGGTGGGCGTCAAGGTCAGCACACGTAATGGCCCCTAGTGAAGGTGCCACCTGTGCTTGGATGGCGGTCGATGAAGCAGTTGGCTGTACGCGTGTATTTCTTACGATGTGGCGGACTTCTTGACGACTAGTCTGTCTAGGGTGTGCTGAGCCTGGTCTTCGTGTAAATGACATCTCTCGGATCCACTGGTCCCAACACCTCCTCACAACACAATCAGAGAGGCCTAATTGACGAGCTACTCGCCTAGCTGACCACCCAGCTTCCATCATGCCGATGATTCTCCCCCTCTCAAGCTGCGACAGCTGCTCATATTGTCTTTAAAAATGGCGCAATAGCGTGTCTACCTTAGCTCTTCCTTTGTAAACGATTCAGCATACTCAAACAAGCTTTGGTTACCTGTTTTATACTCCGATGAGAACGAAGTTAAACGCCCTCTACCAGCTATACTTAATGCACAATCACGCTGCATTTCTGATCATTTGCATATCTCTCCGACATGTACCTTAATGCCAAGTTTAGTTACGATCCCGCAATTATTTCTTGGTGCGCTAATTTTTTTGTCCATGAGTGTAATATTCATTATAATATTGTGATGAAAAATAACTTGAATCCGATATATTGTCATACCATCTTATCATATATTCAAATTTATATAGCATTCTTTTTTTTTCTTTTTCTTTATCAATTGGTTCTTTTAATGTCCTGCCTATTTTCATTTTGTTTTGCATTTTATTTACACGTTAAAGAAATTTCATTAGCTGAAGTAATGCATAAATGAAAAGTGT